CATATTATACACAAGCACACTATTTGGAAATTTAGGAAAGGCCCAATTGAAATGGTTACTGTTAATTTTTTGCTTCTTTTATATTTTCTTTCAACCACAAAATGCTCCTGATTCCGTTTCCTAATTGCATATTCTTCAAAATCTGTGGCAAATGGTTCGCACAGGAGTAGGCATTACTATATTCTGCTACTTGTTTCTGAAACTTTAGCAATTCAAATTAGATTTGCATATCACAGTTGCTATAATATAAAAATATATGATTGGCAAGTGCTTCTGTCTTGCAGAAAGGATGATTAAAATGAACTTTAATACATATATTTTTACCTTTGTTGTTACAAGCTATCCATTTCACATTCTGTGCAAAACTGACTTCCCTCCCAATAAGGTATGTAAAAACACGGACCTGTCAAATGAGATTGCAAGCATTACAATGTAATATTAAAAACAACCAGCACTCTACATTATTAATCTTTCATTTTAGAAAACCCTGGACAAGATCATTATTTATTTTATTCTGGCTCCCATCTGCAATTCTCAGGTCCCGCCACATTGTATCTCAGAGCTAAAGACCCCCTCCCAAAAAGACAGTCCTTATGTAAATATAGGAATAAGAGTATGGATGTGTGTCCATGGAGTCACTACGAATATAGCTCAACTTGAAGAGGTCTTTACTTTTATGAGTTTGTGGAAAATAATAGAGGTGAACCAAAGGAAGGAGTCAAATGCAATAATAAAGGTGAACCAAAGGAAGGAGTCAAATGTAATTTCAAACTAACAGCTGTCATTATTTTACAGAGATTGTTACTGTGATTTTTTTATGAGTTTTGACTTAGCATATGTGTGAACTCAACCAACTGTTGATTCAAGAAACCATTAACCAGTTTCTTAAAATAGCTTGTGAACCTTTCATTCCCATTGCACTTGTCTAAAACTCATTTAAATATTTATTTTTTTGTTCTTCTGCTACATAAAAAAATCAATATAGTGACCTATCACTAAATCTAGACCAATCTCATTAATTAGGAAGATCCGTCCAAAATTATCTCAAGCAAAATTTTAGCTAGGACCCTAAGCGTCTCCATGCTACTCATTGTTTTGTTCCCTGCTCATGATTCATACCAGACCAGTTGATTTTCTATGCTCTTCTCTGTTTTTCACTTTGGAAGCTAACCTTACGATCAGGCCAGTTGAATTTTTCAAAGACGTATTCATAATCTTCCATAGCTCCATCAGTGAGCAGCATGATTGCTTGGTTGCAAAGGCCTCCTTGTCCTGCATCTCTGAACTACAAACAGAACAAACCACAATGAAAATCATGTACAGAGATACACATCTTACTGGCACAAATAGTAGAGCAGATTAATGAAGTCCTTCGTTAAGCCTCAGCAACTCCTGTCTATCATACTGTGTTCAAACAGATTTATTCATATATTTTTATCCTGCCTTTATTATTTTTACAAGTAACTTAAGGCAGCAAATGTGCCTTCTTCCTCATATTCTCCTCACAACAACAATGCGGTGAAGTGGGTTGGGCTGAGAGAGAGTAACTGACCCAAATTCACCCAACTGGCTTTCATGGCCAAGGTGGGACTAGAACTCATAGTCTCATAGCTTGTAGCCTGGTGCCTTAACCAAAAATAAAATAAAATAATAAAATAAAATAATAAAATAATAAAATAAATAAAATAAAATAAAATAAAATAAAATAAAATAAAATAATAAAATAAAATAAAATAAAATAAAATAAAATAAAA